TACTCAGCAGCAGACCCAGAAATGGACTGGAAGTACTACCGGTCCACTTCTGAGTTCTCCACCGAACACGCAGGGGGGCCCCCTGCACTCCTGTGGGACACTCCATCCACCCCAGAATTGCAGTGTTCATGAGCCGTGCCTGGTACCTCGAGGTATGTAGAAAAAACATTTAAAGCTATGTCTACGGCCGGATTGCTGATTCTCCAAATCAGCATCGAATCCTCAGATTCAGATTCAGGCAAATCGAATCAGGGACAGTGATCCGAATCAACTAATTGAATCACTGCCCCTAATTTGGGCTGAATCCAAATCCAAATTGAATACAGCCCATTTCATACACCTCTACAGGTTGCACCTTAGTGTAAACACACCACCAGCCTTCCCTTTCCCCACTAGCCCGGATCAGACCTATTGCCCCCTCCCAGCACTCCAGATCACTTGCTGATTGCACCCCTGACTCCCTCCCCCTTCCCCCCCATTTACCTGTGGTTGCCCATGCTGCAGCAGTAGCAACTGAGGCCTAGGCAGGCAGATTAACCCTTCCCTGCCTGCTTCTCTGGGATAGACAGGGCAGGCATCCACAAGTAAATGGGGCGGGGAGGGGAGATGGGGGAAGAGCCCCATGGCATGGGGGAAGCCTGGAATGGAGTGGGGGTGATTCTTACCTTTCACCCAGGCTCCTGCTGGCCTGAAGTGTGACTGCTCCAAACCCAAGGTGGCACCGACACCCATCAACATTTGTGCTGCTCTCCATTTATGGTGTAACAAGGCCCTTAGATCTATATGACAATGGGTGTAGGGAGGTTTTGCCAACTAGTATTCTTAAAGTGCTTTGAGATCCTCAGATGACAAGTGCTCTGAAAGTGCAAAGTCGTACTAATTACTGCTATGACTTCGACAAAGCTCACATGGGTTAAAATTTCCTCTGTCACAGTGAAAGGAAGAAGTGTAGACAGATATATCAGAAGCAGCCTCTCTTACCCCTGTTCACTTGCAATTTATGCACTTAGATTCCCCTTTGTGGCAAAGGCCTTTATCTCATTCCTCAGGGAGTCCAACCTGTCCCTCATCTCTTTCCTCCTCTAAATCAATGAATAGTTCCCCAGACTAGAGAAGCAAAAGGGCAGAGTCAAAGAGTAACAGCACTGCCAGTGCTGGGGAAGATGTGAGATGATATTGCTATTGTTCACTTTGCTCATTTATTTCCTACATGGGATGTAGGGGTTTAGGGATTTTAATATATATTGACTAGGTAATCCACTGCAAACACGTACTAGAAAGATGGAAGCAAACACACATCAGAAACTTCTCTGCTGCCCTTGGCTGCTCAGATCACTGGTTCATTTGGCTAGTTACTAAACGACGGAGCTGAAAAAATTATGCACAGTAGTTTTGCCTGATTTCTTGGATTTTCTGATGAACCAGAATTCTTACTATGGCATGTAAATAACAGTCTATACAACGTACTTGTCAGAGAGTATGTTAAGGCCAGGCTACACAGATGACTGATTTTCATTTGACTGTATGTACCATGTTCACACCTTCTACCCTTTCTTCCAGCTACATTAGCCAAACCTAGGACTGTGCGGAACACTTCTGGGCCCATCCACCTCAAGCCTCGGCAACTCCCCATGTTTCTGAACCAGCAGGTGCACTGTCTTCCACTTTTGCAAAAGCCCTGCAGTGAATGGAAGCTTTGAAGTTCACAGATGACTCTTTGGACTCTTATGAACGATTCACCCTGCAGGGATGGCAGGTTTAAGAAAGCAGGACAATTTCTCTACCAAAGTGCCTCACAAAGCCTGCATGATAAAAATCACACTCTCCTTCTGAGGGGAAAAAGGAGATAAATGTTTCCTGTGTGGTCAGATTAGCAAGGTGAATACTGAGATGGCCCAGAGATATCGCAGACTATAGGTTTTTTTTACAAGACAGGAGGGTCAGGTATTGCTCACTCCCTGCATGAAAATATAGGCCTTCTATATATCTGACATGACGTGGTGAGATGCAGTGAAGCAATACGTTTTTACCTACGTTTACAAGAGGCAAGTTGTTGTAAGACTGCAGATAGACAAACACCTCTTGGAAAACTAGTCTTGAAACTGAGAGCTAGACTGTCTACTCATGGGGCGCGTGTACACATTCATCAATGCGCTTTTGGTAATGCGCATTAAATTTAGTACCTCCATGGTGAGGTACTAGAAAAGGGTGCGTTAGCTTATTTTAACGTGCATTCACAAAAGTGATAATTTAATGTGCATTAAAGTAGGCTAATGCACATTAAAGTGCATATGTAGACATACCCATGAATTCTGGCAGAGCCCCAAAGCCTGGCCCTTGTACCTGAGCTGAGAAACAGGCTGGCCCTGTCCTGCTCCATTACCAATTATGGCTTTGAATTAACGGAGGAGTTGGCAGGGCTGTATTTTCTGCCTCTCTGCCCATATGATGTCTCTGGTGTGACTGACAGTACCTAGCCCCTTCAGACTAGCGGCATGAAAGAAGAACAAATGGGAGGCCCCTGGTTAAGAGTGCCCCGAGGATCATATTAAGTGCATCGTGTTTGTGGGGAAGCTGGGGAGAGAGCCTCTGCAGAACTGCATTTATCAGTCTTTGCTAGGACTGTCTTGCTGCCAAGCATTTTTGCTTTGCTTTCCCTATTTTTTTTCCCTGTGTTTGGTGAAGCTGAGGATCGTTTCAGACACTGATCTGCTGTCAGATACCCGCCCAACTGGATGTGGGAAAGGCAGTGCAGCGTCCTCTGATTGAAATGGCTCTCTCTTTCAGCTGCCGTGCTGCTATGTGCGGCGTGTGTTTCCGGAAACCCTGTTTGAGGGCCACAACTGGCACCTTCGAGGGCAAATTACGTTCTGTCAATTCTCAACGCAGCCCTGTACAGTACGACCCCAGTGCCCCGAGGGCTATATAAAACCCTTGGCTTGCTTTCCAATGATGTGTACTGAACAGATGAAATGAAATCCTGTGGATCTGAAAGAGTTAAAAGTGCTGGGATCCATGTATCCCCGTGATGTGACATTGCATACGCACATAATCATGACATACTTAATGCAAAAATCTCCACAGGCGTTACTGAGAGCTCCGGCGGATAGCAAAATAAACAGAAATACTAGGCTACGAATCCACGTCTTACTGTCTGCATTATCTTCTCAATGTCTGACGCAGAATCTCTTCTAACCAAAAATTAGTTTAGTTAAGCTGAAGCATTTCATCAGACGCTCTACGTACGATACACGGCTGTTTTATGAGTCTTGTATGGAATCAAATATTTTGAGTACCACGCGGCAATAGCCTGGGGTATCAATAGGAGACGTTTCTGCGAGAGGATTTTTTTAGCCTTACGATGAAAAGGTGGGGGAATGCCTGCAATGTCCTAATAACTCCTGTTTCCATTAAAAGAGGAATGAAAACATTATAAAATGTGACCGTAGATCCTAAACACGGCAACGTGCGCCCTTCATCACACCATGTTCTGCTGTGGCAACAACCCATGCTGCATCACGCTGCCTGGGATTTCAATGAAACCCAATGACAGATAAACTGTTTACATTAAAAGACTCTATCAAAGTTATTTTGCACCTAGTTTCATCCTAATCCATCTGATTTTGCTATAGCTTTGACAAGATGACCTCTCTCGCTGTGTGTGCAGTATTGATGTCATTACTGAAGAGCTGTTCCTCAGCCTTTCTGCTGATAACAAAGTAAATGGAAATGTAGAGAAACCTTGGGGAGGTAAACAACTGGCTCAGGATCTAGCTAACCTCCCCCCCAGGATAAATTACAATAGGAAAGGGTATCTATTGTTGCACCTAGCATGGTCACTGTATCACTTGAAACCAGTGGTGCTTACGTGATCAAACCATATTTTATCGTTTACATTAAAAAATAAAATCTTCAAGGAAAAAAGGTCTCTTTGAATTCAACTTGAATAAATGCCCTAAAAGTTCAATGTACCTTACAAGAATCAGAAGCTCAGCCTACAGTTGACAGCATTTTGAGACTCTCAGCTACAAAGTAATTCATTTTGCATGCAATTACCTAATACTAACCTAGCAGAGAAAGAGGGTTGGGATAAGATATAAAACCGAGATCAGAAACATGGCTTAAATAGGGGATATCTTGTGTATGTATGGTTACCAGAGACAGGCGCTCGCAAAAGGTAATCATTAAGGGTAGGAGAAAAAAACAAATAGAAAAGATGAAAACGTTTTGTGGATTTGTTCTGCCAACAATCCTATACACATAAAATACTCAAAATAATGGAGCAGGTCTGTAACTGGTATCAAAGTTTCTTTGCTTCAAAAATACACAGATCTCCAGCAATGTGCTTTAAATTAAGTGCACGTTTCAGAGGTTAAGAGGACTATTCCTTAGGCAGAAGAACAAAGAAGAGCTGGTTAAAGAAAATTGGGTATACTACAGCTACTTAAAATACTGTATCCAGGCACCACTCATTTGGATGCCTTTGAGCTCAAAGCTAATTTGAATTATACAGAGATGCTTTAAAGAACAAAAATACTAACCTGTGTTTTATCTAAGCTCTTCTAGCTGAGTCTAGTTACTAATTAAAAATCTCCACGATTCTTCCCAATTTATAATAATAAAGTCATCTGGCGGCTCCATTCTTCCTTATAAAATGTTAACATTAGCGGCCCTGAAATGCCTTCTCGAGCCAGGGTTTACTAATAAACACGTCTGTCATCCTTATAGTTACATCTTTCAGCCAAATCTAAAACTATTGGGTGTTAGGAGCTCTGTACATGTAGTAATGCCTGCACCCAAAGTCTCTTTAGTGACAGCAGTGGAAAAGTTTAAAATCCACCCAGTGCTTCTGCAAAATACAATGCTGCAACTCAAACAATACATTAACCAGCTGTTTACCTGATGTTACGAATATGTGCCATAAAGATCTATTGGGTTGGTCAGCGTGCATATTAAAAACATCGAACTAGGTCAAATTGTGGAGAACTTAAAACTTTAAAGACAGCAATTTTAATAAAACTGTCAATACAATTTTCTTTGTAAAAACATTTGAGACTGATTATGCTGCTTATATTGAAAGAGAAACACAAGGTCTATATCTTTAGATCTTTTATTGAACTGTGAGCGCAGCATCAATAACTGCCTCTCAGCTGTAAATGAAAATTGATTCCAGATCTAACCCCTCATTTTCTGTGTTCCTTTAATCCCAAATCACCCGCAATGAAAAGCAGAAGAATCAGCATTTATGTATACAGGGCACACCGCATGTGTCACATGCCCATTTCGAAGGTGTCTGCACTGAGGCTGCTGCATCCCATGAAGTGTTAGCAGGAGATTTAGGAGACAACTAAGGTCTCTCAAACCTTTGCTAGCAGAGCAACGTGACAGATCCCGCACCTGGCTGGGAGCAACTTGTTCTTGCTTCATGCTGTCACAGCAGTCAATTTAGCCCACAGATGCATAGATTTTGATGTCCGTTATGAAAAGCCCATCATCATCACCTTGTATAACCTCCTGGGTAAAACAGGCCAAAGAGCCTCGCTCCGTAATTCCTGTGTCGAGACCACAACTGCACAGCACATCTTTGAGATCCCTCTTCAAGATCAGGAGGGATAGAGACACCACCCTGTCCGTAGTACGGCTGGGGCGAGGGTGGGACAAGGAAGGCAGTCATCTTTGTGGGGCCCTCACATGGCAACCAGACATGAGAATTTGTTTTTCAAACTCAGAGACAGAACCGCATTTGAACAGTTGGCACGCTTAGTTAAAAATATGTTTGAACACTTCTGTGGTTAAAATATACATTGTTGTTTTGTGATATTTTTTGTCACGGCAAATCTGGCTGCCAGGCTACCATCCATTTGGCATTAAAGAGGTCCCGGGCTTTGCATTTGCTCTGGAGCCCCACAATTTCTAGGGCTGGTCTTGCTTTCCAGAAAGGTTGTTTCCATGATTAAATGCCTTCACTAATAAAAATGTGCACCTTAATTCTGGTATGAATTTGTCTCCACTGGATCTTATTACACCCTATTTTTTTTGCTAGACTAAGGGGTAGAATCTAGGATCACATAAGTCTCCATGGGCGGATCCAGGATCGTGGTGATGGGGGGTGCAGCCACACCTTCCTTTGGTGGGTGAGCAGAGGAGAAAACTTTGTGTGCATGCCACGCGGACAAAGGAGATGGGAGGTGCTCTTGGATGCCAGTGAGGTCTCAGAGCTCAGCAGGATGTCAGCAGAGCTCCTGTGCTGTGAGCTCTATGAACACATTGGCTGTTTGGCGTGGGGCTCTGTGGGCTCCATGAAACCAAGGGCTCAGTGTCACTGCCACTGCTGCTGCTGCCACCACTCATCCCCTGTTTTCCTCTGCTGCTGACTTAAGGGAGAGGGAGAAGGAGTGGAGGGGAAAAGCAAACTGGAGCAGGTTCCAGAGCTGCTTGAAAGCAGGGACTCTGGGCACACCCCGCACCGACCAGCTGGTGAGCTCAGAGAGCTCCCAGCACAGGCGGATGTCATATTGAATGAAATAGTTTGAATGTTTGTAAAGGTTGCCCATTAGCCAGTTTCAGGAAGAAGATAGGATTTATCTCCTTATCTAGTTCATTGTTTTGGGGCTACGTGAAAAATGTCCTGACTTCACTTAAAGCCTTAATTTAAATGTTAATCTTTAGAAGTCTTTTACAAAGAAAGCAAATATCCTGAGTTC